AAGAAATTAGGTTAGGAAAGCGGAGTGTGTGAGAAGTGTGAGGAGAAATTTGTTTAATGAAGTTTTTTTTTTGTGACGAAATAATTTTCGACGAAATGAACTTTCGATGAAACAAACTTTCGACGAAATGGGTGTCGGCGAAATGACTGTCGACGAAATGATTGTCGACGAAATGGATCAGACCCAATATTCTTTCCTTTGCTGAAAAAATAAAAAAAATTTTTTTTTTAACAATCTATTTTATTTTATTTTTTTTTTTATTTTTTTTCACTAAATAAAAGCTTGCTTCTTTTGAAGAGAGGAGCTAATAAAGTCATTGAAAATTTTTTTTTCCCCAAACCAATATTTCTGATCACACATTTCGTGCCCTGAAGGCCATGCCAATGCTTCCGAAGAAAGCAGAAAAGTCTTGAGAAGTGAGTACTAAGTTTATGCTTAGAAAAAGTGGTCAAGAGCATTGGACCAATTGAAATTTCATGTCTAGTGAAGTCTCTTATTTTTTTTTTTTATATATTGTCAATAATTGATTACTATTAATAATAAATGGATTTTATAGTTAATATTTTATTAACATATATTAATATGTATAAAAACATTTCACTTGAATGATTTTGTTTCACTGTTACATGATTCCTTAAAAAAGTTTCATATGAAGCAGAAATTGCTAAATGTCTTTTGACAAGCTTCTCTATTATAGGAAATACCAGTTGCTTCAAGATAATAACCAAACTCCTTACAAGATGTAGCTTCCTTTGATCCAAGGAACTTATTAATGTCTCGGGAAAGATTTGTTCTATTCTTCAACTCTCAAACATTCTGGATTCGTTTGAACATTCCTGTATTTACACTCGGAAACAAAAAATATTACAGAAAAGACAAATATGACCTTTTGGCTCGAAGGATGTAAATCCAGAACGGTTGAAGGGACTGTAGATTTTATTGAAATTGTATGTTCGAAAAACCTGTTGAAGCTTCACCTACGTTGAATATGTCGTTGCCCTAAAAAAAAAGGTAACTATAAAGGCACTTGTCATAAACGTGAAAAGGATAGTTCGTTCTATCAAATCTTACGCCTAAGCTCAATGCGTTATATTTAATATTATTTATTATAATTTCAGAGATTTTTTATGGCCGCTATTGTATATAATGGAGAAGGGAGCTGAGTCTCTACTCGACCACTAAAATATTTCCATTACCACTTGGATGGCAAGATGATAAAACCTTTGCCCCACATTGGAAAGAGGGTTGGATTAAAATATCAAGGACTTATTTTCCAATTTCTCGTTTTTACTTGTCAGGACAATTATGTGGTTTTTTTCAAAATTGGCTCATTTGCACCATCTTTGTATTATAATTATTTGGGTAATCCTTTATAAATTTATGAATAATAACATCAAATACATTACATAACAAATCTATTCACTATTATGATTACTCTCCATCTCTTTACTCTTTCCCATCCCTGAGTTGCTTTATTGGTAGAAACTTTTTATAGTAGAGGCGTCAGCCCTTCCCCCAAGTAACCAATGGATTCCAATTGCCATTTATTAAACAGAAAAACTGAGCCTTGCCCGACCTTTTTTTTTAAATCAAACAAACGTTTAAAATCTTTTAATTTCTCGGAGTACTTTTGTTTACTTAATCTACGTTTATTTTAGTTTTTCCAGACTCTATCGCATTGATTATTTTTTGATTTAGTTCTTTTAAGTATCATAATGCAAAAAAGAGCCCAGCCAATGACTCATAAAATAATTCACTCGTAAAGATAAATATTTACTGATAAAGATATTTATAACTTGATGTGTAAATGAGTGGCAATGTCTTTATAATGTCCATCAGACACATTACCAAACAGTTGATTTGTCTATCAAACTCAGAGATGCAAAACAAGTAAGCCTGTCACCATCATCCAAAATTTTTAATATAAAGAATGATGAGTGTGCCTCTGAAAATTATTTGCAGCATGCTCCCATATAACAGTTTACATAATAATAATAAAGTAGGGGGACAATTTTTTTTGTGTATGGTATCCATGCCCGAAACAATATAAAGAAATTATAGCAATCGGATTTTATTTGAATATAAAAATTAAAAATATAATACAATTTCGAATTAAAAAAAAAATAAATATCTTTTCTTTTTTGAGTTCCAATTACTTCTAATGAAACTCGTAACAATTATCAATCGATAAAATTTTCTAGATTTTGCTTTGAGAATCCTTTTGTAAAATTGTTCCAATGTTCGATTTTGTCAAATCGGGCAATTGATTAGTGATCTGCAGAATTGTCCCAAAGTCTGGTGCATTATTATTATAGGTAATAAAAAGGATTAAAAGAATATAAAAAAAAATCAAAGATTTAGACAGAAAATCTATTGCTTATGAAGTTTTTTGTGATTATACGTTCCAGACATGTTTGCGTTGTTTTTGCTCTAATTCGGTTAAAAAAAAATTTTTTTTTAATATTTAACTTTGTATGTAAAATTGGCGTTGTATATATTTTTTTTTTTGAAATCATTGATGAGATTTTTTAGTGTCCATTCATGATTATCTAAATTAAAATTAAATTAAAAACTTGGTAAAACCAGAAAAAAATCCGGTTGGTTCTGGTCACAAAAATATTATTATTATGCTATATTTAACATTATTATCTTTCCGAATGTGGTTGGTTGGTGAGTGTTTCGACATTACACGTAATATCGGAAATATATTGTATCTTCAAAACATAACCATGAAATCGCAGTAAACGTGATGTCACGCACTAGTGACTGAATTACGATTGTGTGACAATAATTAACAAATACAATAATATCTTGAAAAACATCGATCGAAAATAATTGAAATTTAAACCGTATAAGCTCGATAACAAGCAAAGATCACTATCATTATGTGATTTTATTCTCCAAGGCTTAAGAAAATCTTTTTAGTTTTATTGGGTTTGAGTTATGCAAAATTTCCTTTTAAGGATAATGTTTTGATGATTTTGATAAAACGTAGTGTAATTATTATTATTAAATGTGATCTATGTCTGATAATCTATATAATAATCTATGTCCCTCCCGATTCATTTGGTTGGTTATTTTTTTTTCGACTCATTGGATATTAATTATATTAATTATATATTTTCGTAACGTTTCATTTTCATTTTACAATTCAAATAATTTTTTTGAAAAATAAATAAATAAATAAAATAAAAAAATGGACTCCACAATATTTGAAAATTATTTTAATGAAAATGAAAGATTATTAAATGAAGAAAATTTTTATGATGTAAAAATATATGTAGGTGTAGAACCAAACATAAAAGAAGTTCATGCACATGCTTCTATCATATGTGCTCATTGTCCATTTTTTAGTACTGCACTAAGTAATGCAACGAAAGAAAATGGTTATTATATTGTTGAAAAAATCAATTTTAATGAACAACTTTTCAAAATTATCCTCAAGTAAGTTTAAACTAAACTATTATTATGTTAACATATTAATTGATAATATATTAATATTTATCTTTAAAAGATTTTTGTATACATGTAAGATTGAGTTAGACAATTTTACTGGAGTTGATGTACTTGAAATATTAATTGCAGCTGATGAACTTGGTCTTGAATCACTTTATGAATACATAATGAATTATTTTGTTAAAAACCATGAAGATTTTATAAAAGAAAATCCAGTTGGAATTCTGCAATTGATTTATTCTAACAAAAAATTTAAGGAATTGAAAAAGATTTACTTAAAAAAATTTTGTGATTACAGTGAAAAATTATTTCAGTCAAGTGAATTTGAGTCATTGGAAAAATCAATTCTATTGGAAATTCTTAAAAGGAATGATTTTTCTGTTGATGAGATAATTATTTGGGAAAATGTTCTTAGATGGGGATTATCAAGACATCCAGAAATCAATAATGATGATTTTCACAATTGGTCATCACAAAATTTTGTTGATTTAAGCAACACATTAAAGGAACTTGTTTCCCTGATAAGATTTCAAAATATCTCTAAAGAAGACTTTTTTGATAAAATTGTACCATATCAAAGCCTTTTTACTGAGTCTTTCTGGAACAACTTACTACAATATTATTTAGTTCCTAATAGACAACAATCATTAAACTTATTACCATTGAGAAATCCAAAGTTTGAATCAATGACAATTAACAAAAAGTTTGTTTCACTTTTTTCAAGTTGGATAGACAGGAAAAACCCACCATATAATTCACACAAAGAAGCTAAATACGAATTCAAACTTTTATATCGCAGTAGCAGAGATGATTTAGACAATCTTACGTTTCATCAAAAATGTGATGGCATCAGCAAAACTCTTGTAATTGCTAAAATACAAAATTCAGATCAAATAATTGGTGGTTATAATCCACTTGAATGGAGTGGAGAACATGCTTATAAAAAAACAAACGAAAGTTTTATATTTAATATAAGTAATAAAAATGATATTAATACTGCAAAACTTAGCTATGTTAATAATAATAATTGTAATTATGCAATTTGTCGTGGTCCTTCTTTTTTACCTGCTTTTGGTGGTGGCCATGATATTCGATTTTATACAAATGGTAGTATTACTAGTAAACCACATACTTATAATGACATAAATATAGCAGTAAAAAATCAAAGAATTGATGAATTGGAAGTTTTCCAAATAATTGATAATAAATAAAATAATCAAACTTACAAAAACAAAATTCATTATTTTTTTTTTTTTTTAACAATAACTTTATATGTAATATTAATTTATTTGTCAAATGTTTTCAATAAAATTTTTGAGCATATCATAAAATAAAATTTGTATGTGTGGCTTTGAATAGACAATCGCATGAAATTTTTTTTTTTTTTTGGTTTTTCATTACTACACAGCCATTGCAAACCATCAGCTATTTAAAAATTTAAATTCATTTTATTAAAAAAAAAAAAAAAAATTAAAAACATTAGTTTCAAAAAAGGAGAAATGATAAAATACTATATTTTTATAATTTTTAGTCTTGTGTTCTTTATGACGATTCTTAATATAACGCGATACAATAATTTTGAAGATTATAGTAAATATTTTAAAGATTAATCTTGTAATAATGTAATGGTTATTTATTATTATTATTATTATTATTATTATTAATTTTTTTTTAGATTCACTCGAAAGCCAACGACAGCGAAAACTTTATTTATCATCAATAGTTGAGAAATTTATACGAAAAATTCCAAAAACGTTGAACGAACTCGAAATAAAAATACAACAACAAAAAGATAAAATAAAATATTTAACAATCAGAAGAAAATCTTTGGAATCGGAGCAGAAGAGGTTTTATGTAGTAACGAAAAATGAGAAGAAACATTTTAATAAAAAATTAAAAAATCTTAAAAATCAAATTTTTGTAGAGAAATATTTATTTCAATTATTAAAAGATAAAGAAAAAAAAGAACTGGAAAAACAGAAACCATCCTTTGATTTTGAATTGGAAGAATCTGATATTCATTTTTAAAAATTCAATGTCTTTTTTTCTTAATGTAAATATATATAAATGTATAAAAAAAATTTTAACACCTTACAACTTTAATTATTATTATTATTGGCAATGATATTTTAGAAGTACCAGTCCACCGGATCAACGATAAATATAAAAAAAATAAAGAATATTTGTGACCTTTTTTATATTTATGCTTAATATCCCAGATCTATTACGCATCTTTTCTATCATTGATTGATTGGCTGACTGACCACAAATAAAATTTCGGATCGGCCCGAAATTTATATTGTATTCCCATTAAAGAAAGTATTGCCAATACTAATACTAAATTATTATTAGCCGTAATTGACAAAAGTCGGCTATGTCCATCTTAATAATTATTTGTATCCAATTAATGTTAATAATTATTTAGTACATTTATTAATTGAAGCTGGGCAAATTTATTTACCGATAACGACAATCCTATCGTTCAATATCCATTTCATAACTAGTTTAAATAAACGTTAAATGCTCATATCCAATTATTAAATAATTATTAATTGGACACGACGTTCCACATTAAATTTCTTCTATCAGTATCAGATTCCATCAACATCTCATATAAACGATCATTATCATAGGCATTGTTCTGAAGCTTTAAATTTATTATTGAATCGTGCGCAATCCTTGCAAAATATATAAAAATAGTTTTTCGAAAATACCCTCAGAATTATTTCTCGATTGTCCCAAATTTGGTCATCATCAATTAACCATAAATTTTGTTGATGGCCTTTTTTGCTGTCTCTACCTGAGGCTTTACTCAAGGGGTGTAATTGCCACCAATTTTAGCATTGCCAGTTCCATCGGGCCAAGCTCGAACATTTTTCTGATGACTAATAATTTCACAGCACTGAATCCAGTTTTGTAGTAGGTGTGCCAACAATAAAAAGTAGCGCATGAATACATCGTATATCGATCAAATTTGGACGTATGTGAAGATTAAGGATACCGGCTGCAACCTCTGATGATGGTTGTTACCATCTTTGCGTCATATAAAAATGATTGCAACCGCCTTTACGACCACCCTGTAAAAAATGCCATTCCAGAATATTTCCATTATATCTTTGTGATCATGTTCATCACTCCGTAAATGTTCAGTTTATTTCATAAAAGCAGCAATCAGTTGAGTAAGCAAATCCGGATTTTTTCGTATATTAATATAAGGACATTTGTAAATGTGGAATTAAAACGGAATGTGAAAAGATTTTATAGCTCTGAAATATTATTAAGTAATTGATAAACTCGCAAATAAAAATGGGCATTTTTTTTACAAAGAAAGCATTTATTTGTTAACTATAAACTTGATTAAAGATACTTGCTAATATACTAATACGGAAATCACACGGAAATACATTATTTTATTATTATTATTATTATTATCTAGTACTAGTCGCAAAATAAATTGATCTGCATCATAGTAAAATTTTTTGACGCGTCCAAATGCAAATAATTATATTGTCATGAATATTTATAATATTTATACAGTTTAAGATTTTTCTTTTACATTTAATTCCTACATAAATGATACGATTAAAATAATTAGATAATATGAGCAAGCAACAGTAATATACCAATTGTCAAAAAAGGAGAAGAGAAGTGTAAAGAGATATTTAATATTATTATTATTATTAAAATGCGTCAATGAATTGCGATTTAAAATCAATATACTAAATATTAACTATAAATAAGTTTTGAATATTATGTGCAATAGAATTCGGGCTTTCTTTTTAAATCCAAGTTCGCTCAATTCGATCAAGTATTTACCAAGATACAAAAATAGGTAAAGAACCTTTTTTTTGGATTTTAAATACTTATATGGCATTTTCAAATAATCAAACTCGTTTATCATACAACTAGATAAAGCATTCATCAAGTATATTTTACAAAACTTACTTTCCAAGCTTTGTAGATCTCATCTGGTGTTGATTAATTAGTTTTAGAGAGATTTATAAAAAAAAAAATAGTTTTATGGATTTAAGTAATGGTAACATGATTTTTTTTTAATATTTACTTTTGTACTATTTTTATATTAATATTTTATATATATATTTAGAAATGTATTAATTAAATTAAAAGGTATTTCTTTTTCCAAAGGTTAATGGTTGAACGAAATCATATTTTATTTATTATTAATTATGATATATTCTTGTAAGATCTGGCGGTGCGCGATCATAAGAATTGTTACGCGACCATATTTAGAAAACAGGTAGAAAATTCAACATCAAAAATACTAGTTAATATATTCTTGTAATAACAATTACACTACTAATTATTAATCACTTTTTTAGATCTGACGGTGTACTATCAGAAGAATTGTTACGCGGGCATATTTTATTATTTTTAGAAAATAGGTAGAAAATTCAACATCAAAAATTCTAATTGATATATTCTTGTAATAACAATCATACTACTAATCATTAATCACTTTTTTAGATCTGGTGGTGTACAATCAGAAAGAATTATTACGCGGCCATATTTATTATTTTTAGAAAACAGGTAGAAAATTCAACATCAAAATTTTTAATTAATATATTCTTGTAATACAATTATACTACTAATCATTAATCACTTTTTTTAGATCTGGTAGTGTACGATCAGAAAGAATTGTTACGCGGCCATATTTTATTATTTTTAGAAAATAGGTAGAAAATTCAACATCAAAAATTCTGGTTTGGTATATTCTTGTAATAACATTATACTATTAATTATTAATCACTTTTTTTAGATCTGGTGGTGTACAATCAGAAAGAATTGTTATCACATATAATAATAATATACTAATATCAACTAATTTGATTGTCACCTAACAATTATTAATAGTATATAATGTTATTACAAGAATATATAAACTAGAGTTTTTGATGCTGAATTTTCTATATACCTATTTTCTAAAAATAAATAATTAATAATAGATAAAATATGGTCACACTAATATTATTTTTTTTATTATTTTACAAATCAATTACAATCCTGTTCAGAGATATGGAAAATTTCAAACAGAACATGGACTGGTGTTAACTCAAAATTGTCAAATCACAAGGGTGATGTACCACATACAAATTTTCGTGTTGCTGTATGTACGTTACTAGTCCATAATCTTTCAAAAATTTAAAAACTTACCATTTTATCATGTTAGTAACATTTAAAGATGGGAGCCACAATTACATTTTCATATGCCACAACTGCAACCGCAATTCAATTTTCATGTGCCTACAACTAGTCTCAATTAATTGAGGAGCCATCTTTAGTAGACCACTTGAAAATTTATTTATTAATTAAATTTATCCATTTTATTAATTGATTTATTCAGTAAATGCTCAGTCATTTATCCGAGTTTTATCCATTTTATTAATTGATTTATACAGTAAAACCTCCATTTTTAATGAAAAACGGAACTATAAATTCCATGAATATGATACATTTATGGAAAAACACGGAAATGTATATTTATTAATATAAACGGAAAAAACACAGAGTTTAATAATGGAAAAAATACAGTTTAATAACGGAAAAAACAGAGACTAATCACGGAGTAAATTTTTTACAGGGTCATTTTGTTTCCCTTTTTGAATTGCTGCATGGAACACTAGCGATGACACTTATTTTTGTTTATGTGTAGATCAGAATGAATAGGTTATCAACGAATTGATTTTGTTATTAGCGAATAATTTTGTTCAAAGAAGATAAAAGTTTTAAATAAAATAAAAGAAGAATCTGATTCGTCAGAATATGAAAGTTCAGATATAGATGGTGAATTAGAAGTATTCATGTCGGAACAATACTTCAGAAAAATACCCCCAATAGTAAGAGATGAAGAAGAAGAAAACGAAGAAGAAACTAAAGAAGAAGACACCAATTATAATGATGACACATACCCAGAATCATAGAAGCATACAATTTCACAATGGAAAAAGTTGAAAGACCACTTACGACTATGAAGGAGGAATGGCACATATTTCAAGGAAGACACTACCCATGTGAATGTGGAGAAGAAGACCATCATAATCATTTCCGACGCATATGATACAAACAAATATGCAAAGGTTTCCATCAAAGATGTAGATGCAACTGGGAAGAAAAGATACAAGCCTACAATCTAAATGACGAAACCGAAGATGAAAAAGAAATAGACCAATTTGCAATTGATGTTGGGGATGAACTCGACGAAGAACAAACTCAACAACTCTCCGATTTGTTGTATAAATACCATGATATATTTGCTTGGGAGAAGTCCAACATCGGGAGAACCAGCATGACTTATCATAGTATAGATCTAACCGACTCGAGACCAATTAGACATCAACCAAGAAGAGTATCTCCTGATAGAAGTAAGTTTATCCAGGAAGAAATACAAAGAATGTTAGACGCGGGATTCATTCGTGAATCAAATAGTGAGTATGTCTCGGGAGTTGTAGTTGTAGAAAGGAAAGGAGGAGACTTATGGTTTTGTGTTGACTATAGAAATTTAAATAAGAAAACCAAGAAAGGTTCTTACCCTTTACCAAGAATTGATGACATGTTAAAAACACTACAAGGATCACAATGGTTTTCGTCTTTAGATTTAGCAAGTGGATACTGGCAAGTTGAGATGAAGCCAGAAGATATCCAAAAGACTGCTTTTATCACACACCATGGACCTTTGAATTTACAGTGATGCCTTTCGGATTAACAAATGCTCCTGGAACTTTTCAGAGATTGATGGATAAAGTCCTCTGGGACATGCTATGGAAGTCAGTAGTAGTATACCATGATGACGTCAACATCTACTCGAAGACATGGGAAGAACATCTGGAACATTTAGAAAACGTTTTCGAACGTATCCAAAAAGCAGGATTAAACTCAGCCCACGGAAATGTCAATTTGGAAACACGGAGTTGAAATTCTTGGGGCATATAGTTGGAAAGGATGGATCAAGATGGATCCAGCGAAGATAGAGAAGGTGCAGAACTTTCCTAAATCTATTAACATCATTCAAG